TTGGAAAGGCATACCAGGAGGCCAAAGAGACGGTATGGGGCTACTTGAGGGGGAGGAAGGAGAGACCTGGGATGACTTCTAGCTTTCATCTGCCTACCATGGCTGCAGACATGATGCATAGTAGTAGAGTACAATAACAATGCATTAAAACTTAAATACACAATTCTTTTAAATGTGTAAAAAGACTTACATGCTGAGGTTCCCATCATAGGAACCGTCTCCTCAGTCCTGGTCTGGGTTGCTGATTGGGAATCAGCATTGGCAGCTGCAAAGCAGGAATCAGGCTTGACTTCTGCCTAGCTGGCATCAGAGTCCTGAGACCCACAGAGATTCTGGCTTTACAGGAACATCTCTTCAGCGTCCTCCTCATGTTCCTTCTCCAATGAGTCGTTCTGGTCATCCCTAGACAGGGACTGGGGGAGGAGGAGAGAAAGAGAAGCCAGAAGGCTCCACAAGCCTATATAGGGACTAGATAGTTACACAAGAATGGCCATACAGGGTCAGACCAAAGGTCCATCCAGCCCAGTACCCTGTTGGCCGAAAGTGTCCAATGCCAGGTGTCCCAGAGGGAGTGAATTGAACAGGTAATGATCAAACAATCTCTCTCCTGCCATCCATCTTCACCCTCTGACAAACAGAAGCTAAGGACACCATTCCTTAACCATACTGGCTAATAACCATTTATGGACTTAACCTCCATGAATTTATCTAGTTCTCTTTTAAACCCTGTTATAGTCCTAACCTTCACAACCTCCTCAGGCAAGGAGTTCCACAGATTGACTATGCGCTGTGTGAAGAATTTCTTCCTTTTATTTGTTTTAAACCTGCTACCCATTAGTTTCATTTGGTGGCCCCTAGTTCTTATATTATGGGAACAAGTAAATACTTTTCCTTATTCACTTTCTGCACACCACTCATGATTTTATATACCTCTATCATATCCCCCCTTAGTCTCCTCTTTTCCAAGCTGAAAAGTCCCAGTCTCTTTAATCTCTCCTCATATGAGACCCATTCCAAACCCCTAATCATTTTATTTGCCCTTCTCTGAACCTTTTCTAATGCCAGTATATCTTTTTTGAGATGAGGAGACGACATCTTTACACAGTATTCAAGATGTGGGCGTACCATGAATTTAAATAAGGGTGGTAAGATATTCTCCATCTTATTCTCTATCCCTTTTTTAATGATTCCTAACATCCTGTTTGCTTTTTTGACTGCCGCTGCGCACTGTGTGGACATCTTCAGAGAACTATCCACAATGACGCCAAGATCTTTCCTGATTAGTTTTAGCTAAATTATCCCCCATCATATTATATCTATAGTTGGGGTTATTTTTTCCAATGTGAATTACTTTACATTTATCCATATTAAATTTCATTTGCCATTTGTTACCCAATCACTTAGTTCGGTGAGATCTTTTGAAGTTCTTCACAGTCTGCTTTGGTCTTAACTACCTTGATCAGTTTAGTATCATCTTTAAACTTTGCCACCTCATTGTTTACCCCTTTTTCCAGATCATTTATGAATAAGTTGAATAGGGTTGGTCCTAGGACTGACCCTTGGGGAACACCACTAGTTACCCCTCTCCATTCTGAACATTTACCATTTATTCCTACCCTTAGTTTCTTGTCTTTTAACCAGTTCTCAGTCCATGAAAGGATCTTCCCTCTTACCCCATGACAACTTAATTTGCATAAGAGACTTTGGTGAGGGACCTTGTCAAAGGCTTTCTGGAAATCTAAGGACACTATATCTACTGGATCCCTCCTCCTCATTTTTGCATAGTTCCCCCTTTTTAAATTAAATGCCACAGCGATGGAAAACCCTGTCCAACTCCTCAAAAAATGGCAGGTTACATTTTGTCCTTTGTTTTAATGTAGGTGCTTCTGAGCTGTTTGCTCATTATCCAGAACCATGTAGTATCCTGGACATAGCCCCTTCCGGACATCTGCCTGTCAATAATGATGATGGGCAATCACTCATTGCTGAGTATGATCATCTTCCATGGGCATTGGGGACCCTCAGGTGGCAGATAAGACCTATCCTTGAACTATAAGTTCTATTACAATGAGGACAGGTGTTTCCAGGTACAGCAGGAGGCTGTTGATCATGACTAGAAGCCAGTCTCCCCTTCCTCCTGCGCCTCTTCTCCTCCTCAGCTTGTCAGCAGGCGAATTCAAAATGCAAGGAGCCATCACATAGGATTTCTCTCCATTTTGAGTGATCCTAGGTGACTGTCTCCCAAATATCAATGTCAATGTTGCACTTCTTTACGCTGTCCTTTGGTAAGCCCTTATAAAGTGTCCATTGTCTTCCCACATTACGGTATCCTTCTTTCAGCTGAGAAAACAGGACCTGTCTTGCGAGATGATGGTCTGGCATCCAAACAACATGACCAGTCTAGTGAAGACCATCATTGCCTTAATACTGGTGGTCTTTGCCTCTTCCAGAACACTGATGTTAGTGCGCCTGTCCTCCCATTTGGTCTTCAAGATCTTGCGGGAGGCAGCATTGATGATACCTCTCAAGGACTTTCAAGTGATGACAGTAGGCTGACCAGGTTTCAGACCCATTCGATGGTGTTGGGAGAATGATGGCATGATACACAAGAAGCTTTGTGTCTCTTTGAATGTTGTGATCTACAAAAACCCTGTGCTGTAAACAAGCAAAGGCTACACTTGCACAGCTCAGACAATGTTGAATTTTTACATGTTGTCTACCTTGGATGAAAATAACTTCCAAGGTACAGAAAATGATCAACATTCTCTACTGCCTCTTTGCTGATTTTAATAGATGAGGCCTCATTTGGAGAGGGCTCCTGGAGCACTTTGGTAGTCTTGATATTGAGGGCAAGACCAAGATATGCATAAGCATCAGCAAACACATTCAAGATAGGTTGAAAATGTTTCTCAGAATGGGCAAAAACTGCATGGCAAGTAGATTGTAACCTGGAAGAGCCAGACAGTGCAGCTGGTGAGCCCTGGTCATCAGCATACTGAAGTTCCACGACAGATGTGGTGGAAATATTACTCTTCATTTTCAGCCTGCTAAGCTTCAACAGCTTTCCACCCATTCTGTAGATGATTTCAACGCCAGCTGGGAGCTTCCCAGCACTTAGGTAAAATATGACAGCAATGAAGACCATGAACATGGTTGGGGCGATGATACAGCCCTGTTTGTACTTTGAAAGAAGAATTTAATGTCTTAGACATGGCCCCTTCTGGACATCTGTCCATCAGTACCAATGTCCATAAAATGGAATTTATTCTAGTGGCTGGCCACCAATGTTCCCTCTAACTTTTTCCATCTATGAGTAGAATAAATTTTGTTTTATGTATCAAGGCATATGCAGAGGTGTACCACCTGTAGAAACATATGCTGCTGACTGGGCACTTTGCTACTCGGCTAGACGACATTTGAATCTCTCTGGGTGACTGCCCAAGTGCACAGCTTACAGGGAACACTGATGGCCACAAAAGCTTACTACATCAGTGTTTGATGGTGATCAGCTCCAAGGTCTAATCTAGTCATGGCCAACCCATGGCTCATGAGCCGCATGCGGCTCTTGCCCTCCAAAGGTGTGGCTTGCGAAGCTGCTCCTGTGCGCTCCCCCCCAACAGCTCCCGCCAGCTTCCTCCAGCCCCCAGCTTCCCTGTGCTTACCAGGTCGGAGCTGCGGGGTTTTAAAAATGGTGCCCAAGATGGCGGCCGTCAAAGGGGCAGCCCCCGTTTTTTTTTTAAATTAATTTTTTGTTTTTGCTTGACAATTCTGCTCTGGGGGGCTTTTTTTTGCTTGTCAATTCTGATGTGGCTCTTTGCTTTTTTCCTACCACGGTTTTGGGTCTCTCTGTTAAATGGGTTGGCCACCCCTAGTCTAATCGCAGCCCCAAAGGGCTACTCAAGGCATGCTGAAAAGCTTGGGACTATTATGGCAGATACTGTGTGCAGTCCAGGAGCATATGAGCAAAATCTGGTTAAGCACCTACTTTATAAATGTGAGAGAACTTACCCAAAAGCAGGAGAGGACACACAGGTCAACACAGACCAGTAACAATTGCTTGCAAAGCATTGTGGGATAGCCATTAGAGTGCCAAAGTAGTTTGCATCAGGCTTGCATGCATATAAACAATAGACCGGATCATCTTACTTCATGACAAAGTTAGTTGACTTAAAAAGATTCCCGAGTCAGTGCACCATAATGAATTGTTCCGTGTACACACAACTATTTCAAACTGTTTTAACTCAGTTTAGTCTATTTAACCCCCTTCTGTATACAAGCTTTCTCTCAAGTGCTTGAATGACATTCACCCACATCATAAGAACACTAAAGAAGGTCAGATATTTGGCAGCGTCTACTTCAGGGAAACCCAGGAATGGCAGGCGTATCGTAAGACAAGAATGAGGCAGTGACACAACTGGATGGAAAAAGTTCACAAAATAACCTGCAGAGTGATCAGCCTCTTCTTCTAAAGCACTAAGGCCTAGATCCCCAAAGGCACCTATTCAAAGACAGATTTAGAAGCAGGTGCCCCAGGCAACTGGCCAAGCTCAGGGTGCTGCATGGTATTGAAGAGTTTAACAAATGGAAGATGCTCCTTGACTGGGGTGCTACTTGGTCAAGGACCAATCCTGTGCCTAAATTCCTGTTCTGACTGAACTGCAATCCAGACAACTCCTACTGTACCATGTAGCATCAAGGTTTTGAAGGTAAAAGTTTCCTTGGTGCCTAACTTTCTGCCTCAGGACAGGGTTGGGGGCACTGAGGCCGACAGCCTTGCCAAGCCCCTAAGCAAGGCAGGGGGGCCTCTGTTCCATGCCCCCCCAGAAGGGGCAGTGCCTCAGGAAGAAGGGGTGGGGCCAGAGGCAGTCAGTCCAGAGAGCAGTACACCTCCCCCTGGCAGCTCTCCATGCTGCCCAGAGTGCACTGCACAGTGCTCTAGCAGCAATGTAAAGGGCCTGGGGTCCTGGCTGCTGCAGTACCAGCAAGGAATTCCAAGCCCTTTTGTGTCACCAGACAATGGAGAAGCTGCCCTCTGCCTGCCCTGCATCAGCGGCCCTGGTCAAGGAGCACTGAGCCACATATAAATCATTTCCAAAAAAACAAAAACAACCCCTCCCAAACCTGATCTGGCCCCCAAGTGAGAAGGAAAAAAGACGACCCTCTTAGATGTGCCCCCCCCAACTAAGAAGCAGGAGAAAAAGACACTCACCTCACTGCCCTCCTGCTCCACAGGTAAAGGGGGCACAAAGGCTCTGGGATTACTCACAGCACTGGATTAACTCTTCCAGGGCCTTGGACTAGTAGATTTTGTGCGGTCCCCCAAAGTTTTACGTTGAAGCCAAAAGTGAAGAGTTTGGAGGTGTTGGAGTGTTCTGCTTCGGAGTGGGCTGGTGATGCAGGCTCTGGGCAGGAGGGAGAGTGCAGGGACAGGGTGGGGAGTGAAGTCTGGGCAGGAGGGTGCACGAGCCGGGAGGGATGGGGTCTGCAAGGCAGAGGTGCAGGAGCACTGTGGGGGTGCAGGGACTAGGAAGGAGGTGGAGTGCAGGAGTGGGCTGGGGTAGGGTCTGGGCTGGGGGCAGAGTCTGAGTGGGAGGGAATGTACAAGAGGGATGAGTGTGGAGTCTGAGCAGGAGGGTGCACAAATGGGGTAGGGGTGTGGGGTCTGGGCAGTTGGGGTGCAAGAGCAGGCTGGGGTGGTGAGTGGGGTCTGTGCAGGAAGGAGGGTGCAGGAGTGGGCTCGAGATGTGGGGTCTGTAAGGGAGCAAGATGAAGGAGCTGGGAGGGGGGGTCTGGGCAGGAGAGGAAAGATAGGCAGGGGCAATCAATGTGGGCACCTATCTGGCACAGCTCCCGGGGAGGCACAGGATGGGGCAGAAGATTGAAGTACCTACCTGGGGTGCCTACTAGGGGAGCACAGGTGTCTCCACAAGCCTCTGAACTCTGCAGGGAAGTACTAACTGCAGGCATTATCCCCAGCAACTCCCATTGGCTGCCTCTTCCTCCTCCCTGCCAGGAAGGGCTGCAGGCCAGATCCAGCCGGCAGCTTCCCTTGATCAGGCCCACAAGGCTCAGGGTTCCCTTCCCTCCAATCGAGAGCTGGCACTAGCACTCCGGATACAGTGTCTCCTACATGGCTGGAGCACTAGCACCAGCTTGCCCCCCTGTGTGGGGCAGGAGGGGCCCCAAGATCCAAGGGCTGTATGAAGGAAAGCCATGAGCTAAATCATGCCCGCGGGCTGTAAGTTCCTCATCCCTGTCCTAGAGCAATTCACAACCTAGGGGGAAGATAGGTATTCAACTACCTAAGCAGCATGGAGGGCCCAAGAACTCAGAGGCAATGTAACAGACTCAGTCCTTTTCAAAAATCTGAGCCTCACCATGGGAGGAGTTGGTGATCCAACCCACTTGATAACTTTTAGACCAGTAGGTAGAGCACTCACCTTGGCTGTGGGATTTGCATCAGGGACTCTCTTCTCTTGAGAGAGCAGTTGAATCACTGAGCTATGGGATATTCTGGTGTGGGACTCCCTCCGTCTCTCCTATTGGAGCTCTTTCGCTGTGGATAAACAAATGGTCATTGAAGCAAGGAGACTGGACACTGAGTCTCCCAGCTGGGTGTTCTAGCTATTGAACTAGAGAGTCATTCTCTACTCAATGGCTGTGTCTAGACTGCATCCCTTTTCCATAAAAGGGATGCAAATTAGACACATTGCAATTGCAAATGAAGCGGGGATTTAAATCTCCCCCGCTTCATTTGCATAAAAATGGCTGCCACTTTTTCCCGGCTTGGAGTTTTGCCGGAAAAAAGCGCCAGTCTAGATGCGGATCTTTCGGAAAATAAAGCCTTTCCCAAAAGATCCCCTATTCCTTATTTTAAGATCCATTTGCATAAGCCATTTTTATGCAAATGAAGCGGGAGGGATTTAAATACCTGCTTCATTTGCAATTGCGATGTGTCTAATTTGCATCCCTTTTACGGAAAAGGGATGCAGTCTAGACATAGCCCCAATGTGTACTAAATAGCTCTCCATAGTAGAATTATCATTATATAAGAGAGCAGCACCTATACTCCTCCTCCGGCCATTTTCTATGGAGTCAGGCAGGCATCCAACTCATTCCTCCAAAGAGCGCCAAGCAACTTGGCTCCTGGCAGCGGGTCCTTGTTTATGATTCACTAAGCAGAGACAGGTGCCTATGTCTAGGCTGCAGAAAAGCAACTATCTCCAAGACAGAAAGAGGACATAGGCATTGGCATCCCCCATTGGCTAATTCAGGCAGCTCTGTACCTAACATTCTCATCTTTGTGCATCACATTTTAGTGAATTCCATTTATTGTACAGTGTACCTGGCTGCCTAATGCAGGATTTATGGATCTCACTGGAATTTCAGTGATTTTCTAGGCACCTACAAATTGAGCACTGGGATACTCAAGATCACATCATCAAAATCCCTTTGTAGATCCAGGCTTACAGCACTAAGCCTGCAAATACTCAAGCACAAGCTTAACTTGAAGACAATGGAAATGTCACGTGTGAATTTAAGCATGTGTATAAGTGTTTTCAGATTGGGGTCTAAAACAGCAGTTAGTTTTTATAGGTGATTATAAACTAAAATAAACTGATTCTATAATGCTGCCTCAAGACATGCACTTGTAGATAGAGGTCCAATGGGCATATTACTTATCAAATGTAAGTACTCTCATTCCAATTTTATGGGATGCCTTCAGAAACAGGTAATTACAATCTTGATCCAAACCTCCCTTACTGACTTAAATGTTGTTTGGATCATGTTCCGATGGGACCATTATTCCCAACTGCCTGTGTTCACTCAGAGCCCCCAAACAAAAGTAAAGCATGAGTTAAATGGAGTCAATTTATGTTCAAAGATGTATGCTCGACCATTCTTTGTCTCATTGTTTCCTTGTGCTCTACCTCTCAGCCTGCATCCAGCTGTTGTCTTTAGTCTCATACTTCAATTGTAAGATCATTGGAGCAGGAACCACATTTTTATTCTGCATTTATACAACTCTGAACACAGTGGTGTGCTGCTCCATGATTGGGGCTTCTAGGTAATTCAAGTAACTGGGATGCCTGAAAGGAGAGTTCATGCTTACAGTCTCCACCTTTGTGCCAGCCAGCTCCCGTTGAGATGGACTCTGCACCCTTGTGTTCTCTCAAGCTTCAATGGACAACAATCAAAGTACAAGCAAACAAAAATATATGAGTGTGGTATGGGAGTGTCATGATCATGAGGGTTTGCCAGCAGCCTGGGAACTAAGGGGTTAACCTTATCTAAGTCAGGTAGATTCAGACAATAGCAATGTAGGTACAAATTTCATACTAGGACAAAGGAATGTTTGGTTTCTCCCTCCTTTGTCCTGGGCAGTTTCTCTCCAGCTACGGAGGGAGTCAGACAATGTCTCCCTCCAAGAACAGACTCTTCACTCTTTTGTAAGTAGGGTAAAGTTTAGACAAATTTCTGAACTTCAAGCTGACTACATAACAAATACATTGCTGTAATTCTGTCTTATCAAAAAAGAACGGGTTCGGCCTCTGTCCCACAGAAAATATTTTGTTCCTTTGTCAATAACTATTTGAGCAAAAAAAGAATTCCATATTCCATTTTACAGTCTGTGGTTCCACCCTTGTCAGTCCTGAGTATCAAGTTTTGACAGAATTACAAAGTCCACACCCAAGTTCACGACACAAGAGATACTAGGTCATGTCAAGTTTTGACACAGTAAAGTTACATCACCAGTCAGAGAGTGCCAAAGGGAAACTGCTGTTGTGTATTCACACTGTCAACTGCTTACATAAGAGTGTTCACACTTGTGGTACTTGCAGCAGCATTTGGTGTGGTGCCCTTCAGGCAGCTATCCCACAGTGCATCTCTCTTTTTTGCTGCTAAGTGTCGTGGGAAGGTGGAGGGGGTTGTGGGGCATCCTGGGTCCTGTCCCAATTCTTCAGAATACATTTCTTCCTATCCCAGCAATCCCTGTGCTTCTGTCCACATTTGGTGCCATCTTTCAACTGTTTGTTTACTGCGGGCTTTGTCTGACTGGTCTGCAGGAATGGATCCTGCACTTCTAACCAATACACTGTTTCCTCTCACTAAAACATCACAAGTGTCAGCAGAGTGTTATACAGAAAAGACAAAAGGTGTCTAAAATGGATCTGACCATGTGCATTATCTCAGACGTGATATCGTGTGGCATTCAGGGGGGAGCTGACCATAGTGAGATGGCGTTTTTGAGCTTGGGAAACAAGCACTGAGTGGTGGGATATCATCATGCACATGTGGGATGATGAGCAGTGGTTGCAGCACTTTCAAAGATTTCATGAAGCTTGCCCCAGGCTTGTGGTACAAGGACATGAGAATGAGAGCTATCCTGTCACTGGAGAAGCATGTGGTGATTTCACCGTGAAAGCTGGCTACTTTCAGACTGGTATTAATTAGTGGCTAACCAGTTCGGAGTGGAAAAGTCAACCATTGGACTCGTGACATGTGCAAGGCCATTAATCGCATCCTACTGAGAAAGACCGACTCTGGGCAATATGCATGAAATTGTGGATGGCTTTGCACAATTTCATGGGCTTCCCTATTCATGGTGGGGTGATAGATGACGCACATAATCCAATTCTGCCACCAGACCACCTAGCCTCTGAGTACATCAATAGGAAGGAGTATTGCCCTATGGTTCTCCAGATACTTGTGGATCATAATAAGCATTTCATGAACATCAAAGCAGACTGGTCTGTAAAGCTGCAGGACACAGACATTATTGAGAACACTGGCCTGTTCTGGAAGCTGCAAGTTGGGACTTTCTTTCCAAAACAGATCACCATTGGGGATTTCAAAATGCCCATTGTGATCCTCAGAGACACTGCCTATCCTTTATGAAGCCATACAAGGAGAACCTTGACAGCAACTAGGAACAATTCAATAACAGCCCAAGAAGATGCAGAATGACTGTGGGGTGTGTGTTTTTGATCATTTAAACACCCACTGGAACTACCAATATAGGCTGGACCTAGCTGATGACAACATTCCTATGGTTGTGGAAGCTGTACATGACATGTGATGTATGCTTGTAACAGGGTGCATACTCACCTCCCACAAGCACTCCAATTTGGCTGAGTGTGGGTTCCTACACTCTGTCAGTCTTAAAAGCCCTGCAGCTACTCAGCCTTCTGGCCAAGTCACACTCTGTGCAATCACAAACCCCTTCCAGGGTACACCTCTAAACGAGGCCCATCCTGGTACCCTCTGTAGAATATCTCTCAGTTTAATATCAGTCCCTCAGTTTGTTGCCTCGCTCTGAACCAGGGCTATCCCTCCTGTAGACAACTCCTTCGCTTTTAGCTCAGGGCTTTACCTTCGAGTCCCTCAGTCTCTCAACAGCTCTCCATTGGGAGCTCTCCTTAGTACTGCTGCTCCCTCAGCCAACTAGCTTCTGTTTTCTTTTCTTCCAGTCTGCAGGGGAACTGAACTGCAGCTATCCTTGAAGCTCTTTTTGTAGGCCTTGCTAGCCCCTGATTGAGTGATTCTTCCACAGCCACTCTAACTTACCAGAAGAACTTCTCTATGGCTTTCCTCTGGCCTCAGGTTTTGGTCCACCCCATCATAAAGCTCCATAATATTTGTGAAGGGAAGGTGAAACCTTCACTTAGGGCAGGACCATTGAGGCTCAGTACCTGGGAGCTGCATTTGAAGAGCCAGAAACCAGGGATGTTAGAGGGGCACAATATGCAGGGCCATAAGGGTGAGGGAAGCCTTGAGGCAGCAATCTGAAACTGAAAGGTACTAATGTTTGCTGCTATGCTCAGGGGTTCAATGCTTGAAATGCTAGTAGATGGCTGGGAATGGTACATATTGTAGCCTATAAGGCTAATCTGCTTGCTTGCCTATATATACATTTTATTTCCTTATGGTTTTGATTAGATGTTTATTATAATATATTACAGTAGGTTTATATTGGCAGTTTGGCTGTAACACAAGGGACTTACAGGGCACATCCTTTATGGTGAGATAAGGCAAAGTTAGTATTTTTGTCTGGGACCTTTCACCCAGATAGCAAAAGAGGACGTGCATATATTTGGCATCTTTCACCTAGAATGATAAAGCAATCATCAATAGTGAAGGGACTTCCAAAAATACCCTCAAACTTAAAAGGTACATCTTTACTTTAAAAAACAAACAAAGTAACTCGTTAATAACAGATCGAATAACTGGGTAGAATAAAATAACAAATGTGACAGAGAACCACAAAAGGCCCATAGTAAGAAAATGATGTATATAATAAGTTAAGATCAATGGTATGCTAATCTATTAAAAAAAACACTTCGCCATCAGTAAGATAAAGAAATACAAATGTAACAGCAGTGCAACATATTATAAAAGTAGCATTGCCGCCTATGGGCAGTCAGTGAAGATGTAGTTCTTGGGAGGTGCCAGAATGATGGCCACTGGTAATGATGGAGAAGTTGAAAGTGATAAGATAGATAATTCTAACACCTGAAGTTGTTCTAGAAGGAATGGTGAGAGTATATGGTATGG